GAGGTTTCTTTATCCAGCTACCTTTCAGAATTAAAAGAACCTGCATATAGATGATTTCTATCAAATCTAGAGAATATGAATCGTTAGCTGCCCAACATAACATTGCCCCGACCTTGGATCTTTTAACCTCTGCCTCATCACAAAGGCGGAGAAACAACTATGCTGGATGAATCACAGATTTTTTTATATGGCGGGAGAGACCAAGTTCTCTTCTCGTGCATAAGCTTACCCCCAAATTTACTCACTCAGCAATAACGGGGTGTATCACGCAGGATCCTCAGAAGATCCTTCGGAATTTCACAATTTTTATGCTTCTTTATATGGTTCACCGTGGCCAGCAGAACTCTCTTCCATTTCAATCCTTCCTGGAATCCTTGCCTATTCCTTCCCTTACTGAAGCCCATAAAGAGCTTATGGAACAACCTATTACTTCTGAGGAGCTCCTAAAAGTTATTAAATTACTACCGTCGCATAAATACCCGGACCCCGATGGCCATCCCAACAAATAATACAAAACCTTTTATGATCATTTACTTCCTCATATGACACAATACTTTAATTCATTGCGAGAGGAGGGTATGGTCCCTTTAGATGAGAATAAGGCATATATTAGTGTCATTCCTAACCCCAATAAAGACTCCACTGATGTCCATAATTATTGCCCTATTTCATTAATTAATTGAGACCTGAAAATTTCAACGAAACTGATGGCTGTACGCCTTAACTCTTTTCTGGCACAATATATCATAAAGAGCAATCGGGATTCATATCGGGTCGTCAAACGTTGAACCAGATTCGTAGATCTGTTACCCTGATATCAGCTGCCCATTTCAATTGGGATGCTCCTCTTTCTAGGGCACTCTTACTTCTTTCTGTGGACCTTCATAAGGCCTTTGATAGTTTGACGTGGGAATATTTATTTACTACCCTGCAGACCTTCAGATTTGGCACGACATTTCTTGCTTTGTTGCCCTCGTTATATGATAATCCCTCGGCCCAGGTCTCCATTAAAGGCTACAAATCCTCTGGGTTCCAAATCCGAAGAGGTACTAGACAGGGCTGTCAGCTTTCTCCGCTGCTTTTTGCGCTGGCAATTGAACCCTTGGTTATGGCAATTCGGTTTCATCCCCAAATCCATGGCATAAATTGCGGACAACAGGAACATAAATGTTCCCTATTTGCCGATGACGTTCTTATATATATTACTCCCTTTGATAACTATTCCTAATTCACTATCATTATTACGCCAATTTTCCGTTCTTTCCGGGCTTTCCCTTAATTCCCAGAAAATGACAGCCCTTCATTTTTCTTTACCCATATCTGAAGAACAGAAGCTTAGAACTTCCTACGATTTTCAGTGGGCGAGTAAATCGTTACCCTACTTAGGAATACACCTCAGTGCCTCCATCGAGACGCTTTATCAGGCTATTTATCCTCCCCTCTTTAAAACACTCAAGAACAATCTCCATCATTGGGCTAACTATTCCTTGTCCTGGTTTGGTAGAGTCAACTCGATCAAATGATGTTTCTGCCCCGATTACTATACTACTTCCGAACCTTACCGATAGCGATCCCGAGGCGAGACTTGCAGATTCTATAAGCTGAGGTTCTCCATTTTGTCTGGAATAATAGACGGCCTCGGATAAACCAGAATACATTATATGCTTCCAGATCGAGGGGTGGTATTGGCCTTCCCAATCTCCACACGTACTATTAAGCTGCTCAGATCACCCATTTAGCTTTCACCACAGCTGGGGGACATGCCCCCTTCCCTGGGTTTCTATAGAAGCTCTTTCCTGTCACCATCTAGCTGTTGGGGCGTTACTTAGGGCTTCCTAATCAATTGCGCCCCCCTATATTATGCCCCACTCTGTCATTTTCTTTGGCAGTTTGGGATGGGGTACGCCATCGCAAGTCATTGGCCTCCTCGCATACACCTATTGCTCCAGTTTTTTGCAACCCAGAATTTGTGCTTTGATTAACGCCGGCCCCTTTTCAATGGTGGATCAATAAAGGCTTGCTGCGGAAAAGAGACTATCTTAATGGTTTTATATATGTAAAAGTGTTATAAACAAAACTTTAATTAAAAACTGTGAAGTCCATCAATCAGTCCATCAAACAGTTATTAACTCTCACTATCCTATAATATCATAGTTCAAGATGTTCAGAAATTCTTCTAACGATCTCCCATGTGCATGTACCTCAAAAAAAAGAAATAACATATAGTGCATTATCCTTTATATAATATAAACTTAATTCATCTCCCACAATCCAGTGACCAATAGTGATAGTGGTGAAAAAAAATGGTGAAAATAGTGAAATAATCAGTGAAAACACTGTGTGTGTGAATCTTAATGGTGTTTGCATACATTCTCTGCAATATTTTAAGGATAAGCTGCTTATGCCTACCACTGAAGTCTTCAGATATAACCAGATTGTCTCATTTCTCCGCTCGAAGCTTGCTCTACTGGATGGGTCACCTTTGCTCACAGCCTTTGAATTCTCCTGCCAGAACAGGGATTTCCCAAGAGGCTATGTCTCTACAATATATGCTCTCCTCACTGATCCAAACTGTAAACTCCCTTATATGGAACATTGGGAAAGAGATTTAGCTGTCAATTATGAATTATCGGATTGGCAAAACATCACCTTGGCACTGTCCAAATTTTTATCAATACTACCTTAATTAAGCAAATTATAAAACTTTGTTGAGATGGTATTTGGTTCCGACCCGGATTGCAAAGATGCATCCATCTACTTCTGCGATATGTTTCCGGCATTGTGGCCAGGCGGGGTCTATGCATCACATCTGTTGGCAATGTCCGCTTGTAACTAGATTTTGGATTCGCGTCTTCAATTTGGTCAATTCGGTGACGGGAATAAATATTCGCAGATCCCCGGAGACGGCACTCTTTCACAAATTTCCAGATAATGTTCCAAAGAAATCCCATAAATTGATCTCCTATATATTGCTGGCAGCGAAAATTACTACAGCCATAAAAAACTTAACTGGATTATGATTAATGACAAACTTACCTGTATCCTGCACAATAATTCAAAAAAATTCGATAACACATGGAACCCGTGGATTCAATACCTCTCTGTGCCTTAATGATCCTCCTCTTGATTTCCTTTCTACTCTTTCCTTTGTCCTCTTTATTTCTTCTTCTTTCTTCTTTTTTCTATTCTGTATTGTACTTTCTATGTTGGTTAGGCGAGATACACTTAACCTTGAACTGGCTGTAATTTATGTCTTGCCTTAACGTCCAATTGTTGTAGCAGAATTTGTTGTTATTGGTGTTTTATATCTGTATGTATGATGGAACATTGTTCATTAATACTTCTTGTTCTTTTTTGTAAAATGATTCATTAAAAACCTTTGGAAACTAAAGGCGATGAATACTTTGCATATGGAGCTCCCTCTGCACAGGTTTTGTGGAACAGGTTTTGAAAGACTGAGATTGAGCTCTGCAGTCACTTTGCAGCAGTGGCTTTTTTTGTTATGGGTCAGAATCCTGTGCAATGTTCCTTTGCCTCTTTTGGTCAGTTGATCAGATTGAGTGCAATTATGCTTATCAGATGACGTTTTCCTGGAAACTATATATGCCATCAAAACCTCGCGACACCGCAAATAAATGGGCAACTTCAGTCACAGAGGCACCAGCTAAGTAGCACCAACAATTTGCCCTCTTTGAAACTCAATAAGCTCTGACATGACTCCGTATTGCTAGCAGCGCACGCAGTGAATGATGAAAGTGAGGCTTCCCACCTGTTAGCTACATGCTGAAGCACGCAGGGAGGAGCCTTGCCACACTGATGTCACGCCGCTGAGGCCACATGGAAGGCCGACGGCCATCTTTACTGCTTGTAAGCTTACAACTATACCTTACTACTTACCTGGAATTTTGCCAATACTTAATAAAATACTACACTATCCAAAACTTTCGTTTTGTGGCTTGTATATGAGCCATTTAAGGTGGATCACTATCCTTTTGGCAACTAACTTCTATGGTGGAGATGCATAAGAGGAGCTGTCCCTATATGCTGAGAGGGTCTGGTTTGTGAGGTCTTGAGTGCCTTTCCTGTGTGCTGTGTGTGTACCAGTGGAGCCCCCTGTCCCCACCAGAACCCTGATGACCACCAGTGTTTCCCCGGATAATATTACATGCGACTTAACTTTGTGCTTCTGGTGAGTGCAAGCATACTTCAATCCCTTATCAATGAAGTCACAGGCATGGGAATTTTGACGCACCACTTTATGGACTACGTGTATTTCAAGATATCTTCAATTGCTATTTGATTGAATTTATTGCTATTTCATATATTGCTATTTGATTTATTATTTTAATGTGAAACAGTTCACCAATAACACTATTTATCATCCATTCACCATTTGGCGACACTATTGTAACACTTTTTAGCACATTAATTTGCGCCTTATGATATGCACTTGTCACTTCTTATTATCTTCATCATTTTAGCACTGCATTTTATGTTATCTGTCTATGGGAATGTTTGACCATTCTTCCAGAAGCGCATTTGTGAGGTCAGACATTGATGTCCGACGAGAAGGCCTGGCTTGCAATCTCTGCTCTAATTCATCCCAAAGGTGTTTTATCAGGTTGAGGTCAGGACTGTGTTTATGGACCTTGCTTTGTGCACTGGTGCGCAGTCATGTTGGAACAGGAAGCGGCCATCCCCAAACTGTTCCCACAAAGTTGGAAGCATGAAATTGTCCAAAATGTCTTGGTATGCTGACACCTTAAGAGTTCCCTGCACTGGAACTAAGGGGCCAAGCACGACCCCTGAAAAACAACTCCACACCATAATCCCCCCCCCCCCCCCCTCCACCAAACTTTACAATTTGCACAATGCAGTCAGGCAAGTATCATTTTCCTGGCAACCTCCAAACCCAGAAATGTCCATCGGATTGCCAGACAGAGAAGCTTGATTAGTCACTCCAGAGAACACGTCTCCATTGCTCTAGAGTCCAGTTGTGGCGTGAACCTCTATACGCACTGTTGTGCTAATCTGAAGGCCACACAAAGTTTGCAGGTCTTTAGCTATTGACTCTGCAGACAGTTAAAAATACTACATACAATCTCCTGCGCTTGAATGGAAAAACCCTACCACTAAGCTGCTAGCACCCCCCTTCAACCACAAAGTGTCAATAAACAATAAATAATAGTGCAACGCTAAATAAATACTAAATCAATAATTAAATAGGACTAATTCATAATTATCTGGATACCCTGAAGAAGTCACGTGACTATCGTGACGCAACGCGTCGTATGCGGTGACAGAACTTCCGGTACGCAGTGACGTCATTTCCGGCGTGGGGGCCATCTTGAGACACCCGGAACCATGCACATACACCCATAATACACCCATAATATAGGTAAATGCTTGATGTCGCTGTGGGATATGTGAGTAGGATTTCTTTTTCTTATCTACCTAATAAATACGGATTTACACTATGGAGGATCTTTATTTGTTTCCATCATGATCCTATGTGGGTGAACCATTGATACAAGTACCAGGGGAGTGAAATACGCAGGAGGATAAAGGCCTGTGGATATCCAGGAGGGTCCATTGGAGGTGACGAGATTGTTCCTGGGAAAGATTTATTTTCCCTAAAGCGAGCTGGCCTTTGTGATCACTATTGGGAGGTGAGGGGCCACCTTGGAAGTTTTTGGATTCACATGTTGGGGGCACTGGATTCACATTATTTACACAGTTATTGCTGTGGAGCACGGATTTACTTATTGGGACATTGTGTGGATATATGTGTTGTGTGTATATATGTTATATATATATATATATACATAGATTATATTGTTTCACTGAGTGTTTAATACACATGCATGCATTTTTGTTATTCACTTAATATGACCCTAGTGCTGGGGTTAATATTTGTCTGCAGACAGTTGGCAACTTCTGTGTGCTTCAGCATGCACTGACCCCATTCTGTCATTTTACGTGGCTGAGTTACTGTTGTTCCCAGTTGCTTCCACTTTGTTATACCACTAACAGCTGCTGGTGGAATACTTAGAAGGAAGGATATTTCACGGATGGACTTATTGCACAGGTGGCAACCTATCATGGTACCATGCTTGAATTCACTGAGCTCCTGAGTGTGACCCATTCTTTCACAAATGTTTGTAGAAGCAGTCTGCATGCCTAGGTGCTTGATTTTATACACCTGTGGCCATGGAGGTGATTGGAACACCTGAATCCAATGATTTGGAGGGGTGTCCCAATACGTTTGGCAATATAGTGTATGTTTATAGAATATTGAGTGATGAGAGATCTGAATGTTGTTTTAGTGCCTGGACCAGTTTCTGTGATGGTGACAGGAGTTTCACATGGGGTACTGTAATTCTGCCTTCTTCTGCACAGAGTGAATGATTAGCTTTCTCTACAGAATATATACGTATATATATTATATAATCAGAATGTGTCTGGCCTCCTGAGAAGTTTAGAAATGTCCCGATTATTGCAAAAGATGACCATTAAAGGTTCATTGTATATACAGCGGTAGCAGAAAATAATTTTACACAAACCTCACCCCAACCCCCGCCCCCAGCTGCTAACATATCAGATGATATTAACGTAATACTAAGGGTTCAATTTTTTTTTTTTAAATAACAAAGATGTTATACTTACCTGCTCTGTGCAGTGGTTTGCAGAGCAGTCCTGATCCTCCTCTTCTCGTGTCCCCCGCCGGCACTCCTGGTTCCTCCTCCTTGACCAGTGCCCTGCTCTATGCATCCCCCCCTTTCTCCTCACTGTGATTGGCAGCAGTAAAAGCCAAATGGCTCCCGCTGCTGTGTCTTAGCCAATGAGGAGAGAGAGACCTGGGACAGCTGAGTCCCCATGCACCTTGCTGAATTGAGAGGGGGCTCAAGTGAGTATTGGGAGGGTGAGGGGGCAGCAGTAGACAGGTTTTTTACCTTCATGCATAGTACTGCCTTTACAACCCCTTTAATCACCCTTGTATATAATAAATAAATAATATATGCTACGCTACAATAATGATGCGGTGCCATTTTTCCACACTGCATGTGCAGCGGGTTCTGCAGGTTACCCGCGCTTTGCCATACACATCTATTGCATTGGGAGGTTTTGGTGCGCCCAATGCAATAGAAGTCTATGGCAAATCACAGGTAACCTGCAAGAAATGTGCAGTTACACTACACATACGGTGCAGTGTGAAATGAACCTTACAAACAAAATCATATATGATCTTAAAAATGTGTCCATATACTCTGAAGCAGTCCATTAATATTCAACTATCAATAAACAATCATCATGTGAAGAAAGTGAATTAATCCATATTCATTTCTGGCAGTGCAATAGCGCTTCAAAGTTAATATGACCTCCACCTTCCCTTTGTGGGTACCCTCTCACCTTTATAGATTGACCGTTACATTTAACAGGTCCAAAACCTTTTTCCCCTTTAAAGTTGGGAATAGCTACAAGTAGATGGTTTGTGATTAATAGTGGATATCTCGCCTTTTATGGATCCTTACCAGCAAGGTAAACTCAGGAGAAACAAAGACAATCCATAGTGCTTTCCCTAAAATCAAAATTAATTTATTTAAAGTGTTACTAAACCCAGGACCCTGGATTCACTAGATCTGGTCTTCCACAGTACACAGAACATGAAAATGCAATTAATTTAGTAAGTATAAACTGCTAAATACCTTTTCTCATCAGCGGTTAGAGCAGTCTTGTGCCTTCTATTAGTGTCCAGCTGAGCACTAGTTAATCTTGTAGGAGGCGTTTTCATTCTGCTCAGACTGTCCTATGAGGCTGTATGACCCCCTAACCCTCTGTCCAGACAGTGCTGATTGGCCTGTGCCAATCACATGCACCCTACCAAAAAAAAAAACCCCTCTAGCAATACACACCAAACAGAACATCTGCAGTCTGGTCACTTCTGCTTTAACTATGGAAGTTGGATTTGGGACAGTCGAAGGAGTGGATCAGAGAAGACAGGATCAAACAGCCTTTTTACACAATGCAGAGAATTAACCCCTTAGGTTCCACAGTGAGTATAACAAGCATGCTTTACTGCATATACAGACTAATTTTACTGTTGTGGGTTTAGTAACACTTTAAATAACTAGTACACTCACATGATGAAAGATTCAGAAAGAGTTGGAAAAAGTAAAATTTCCATTGAAACATAAATAAAAGAAAATGAATAAAATGAATGCTGAAATTGATGAATTAAAAGATAAAGTGCTGGACCTTCCAGTTTATGAAGGGTTACCAAAAACAACATATGCTATTTTAAATAGGATTAATCAAGAAATAAAACATGTTAAGACAGAAGTTTTTAAGAGATTTAGGGGACTATAGGAATAATCAAGTTTTCCAGGCCTAATAAGACTAATAAAGGAAGGTAAAGGATACTGCCGCATTGGGTAAAGGCAAAGGTGGATTAACCAGCCCCTTGTATGATTCTGATTAGAGATGAGCGAATTATTCAAAAATTCGATTCGGCTGATTCGCCGAATTTGCGGAAGAAATTCTATTCGATGCGAATTTATTCGCTGCGAATTTAACTTATTAAAAGGGTTTCTAGGCTTCAGAGAGCCTTTATATTAGTGCAGAACACTGTACCTTTAATTTAAATGCCCTTGGAGTCTGCTGGGGAAGAGAAATAATACTGTCAGTCAGTATGACATGCAGATGAGTGCCGTCGATCTTAGAATCACCGCACACTTCACTCATTTGGGCAGTCACGGGGCACGAAGAAGAAGAAGAAGAAGAAGGAGAAGGAGAAGGAGAAGAAGAAGAATGAAAAGAAGAATGAAAAGAAGAATGAAAAGAAGAATGAGAAGAAGAAGAATGAGAAGAAGAAGAAGAATGAAAAGAAGAAGGAGAAGAATGAAAAGAAGAAGGAAAAGAAGAATGAAAAAAATGAAAGAATGAAAAGAAGAAGAAGAAGAAGAAGAAGAATGAAAAGAAGAATGAAAAGAAGAAGAAGAATGAAAAGAAGAAGAATTCCAGTACAGCAAAAAGTGTATCTGCAGAGAGCTCCGCTATTTCTGACAGTTCTCTGACAGTTCCTTCACATTTACAGCGGTTGAAACATTGTATCTATTTGTTTCCGAATAAAAACATCTGTATCCTAAATGGAAACAAATAGATACAATGTTTCAACCGCTGTAAATGTGAAGGAACTGTCAGAGAACTGTGAGAAATAGCGGAGCTCTCTGCAGGGACACTTTTTGCCGGCTGTAGAAGGGATGAAAATCGGCCGATCGGGAAAAATTCGATTCGTGCATCCGAAGTTTGCTAATTTTCGGATTCGGTGCGAATCAAATTTTTCCTAATATTCTAAACGAATTCCACTTCGCCAAGTTCGATTCGCTCATCTCTAATTCTGATCTGATAGAACAGATACAGTGGATTCAATCTAAACAACAGCAGATCAGTTCAGCAGATCAAACATAACGGCTTGCTCAAGGGGGGAGGGGCCAGGAATATTGGCCGCAAAACAATTACACAGAACAGGTAAGTATGACATATTATTTTAAAAATTAGCCTTTAGAATCGTTTTAATAGCACCAGTAACAAGTCCCAGTATTGCCAACCAGGTGAGTAGAATACTTGACAAGTTGCAACCCAAGAAGAAGGCAATTATAAATGCCCTAAAAGCAATTATAAATGAAGTCTGGGAGACAGATAGCTAATAAATAAAAAAAAATGTTTTGTCTTTAGGTGCATAAACTAAGCTTGACTGTATTTAATATGTCACAAATGAATATCTAAGTGGTCCAGTTGTCTGTATTTTCATTTTGCAGTATGTATGATGCTGTTATTATAAGCGGTCCACTTTGTGACTTTCTGAAAAATCCAGGTACAGGTTATTTGTACATATGTAAATGACTTCCAAGTATGTATTAAACAAGTCTGGGAAACAATATCATGCCTAACTTATTTTATTCTCATACAATAAAACAAAATCAATGAAACATGCAGAGTTGCCCCTCCACATTTTCCCATCACCTGCTGATAATCTTTATATTCTGAAATGCAACTTTTATTGTAGAAACTTGCACCAGTTATAAAATCAGTCTCATAGAATACATGGGGACTTGCAAAATAAAGAATTATTCAAAAAGGTAAACATAAAAATACATTTAAAAATACATTTAACTTTCTTTTAAAAACATGTAAACTTTCCTACTAAAATGTTGATGATATTCATGTGCAGAGTAATATTTGTACATTTTACACCAACTGTTTTAATATTTTGTTTCATTTAAATATTTAGAACAGTGATAAATTAATTAGAACATTACAAAGTCAAGATCAAAGTGTTACAGGCACATCATACTACAGAATTTAGTAGAAGTTGCAATGAAGACAACAGTGTAGTGTTGGAAAAGGGTTCTTAACCAACCTCTTTAAACCTGTTTAATGCTTTAGGAACCCTTGAAATTATTGTCAGGTTTTAGGAAACCCTTTTTAAAATTATTATAGCTCCAGTTCATGGTACATTAGCATGATCAGCAAGGTGTAGAATTTTATTCATACATGAAATAAATCATAACAATGACCACAAGAGGAATGCAGACAGTAAAATTGTTGTGTCTTCGTACACTTTTGGTACATAGAGAAATGCCCCCTTATCATTAGTGGTCAGTGCAGTGCACTCTTACATTGATGGTCATTTTAATGCTTCCTTACATTAGTGATCAGTGTGGTGCCTCCTTACATTCATGGTCAGTGTAGGGGACCCTTATTGTGGGGATCACTGGCGAAATGTCTTCTTACACTGGTGGTTGTGAAGAAGTGCCCCCTTACACTGGATGGTAATGAAAATGTTATCTTTTACATTGGTTATTAATGTAGGCTGAAGATCAATCCACCACTGTATACTGCCTAATGTACCCTTTTTGCTCCCATGAACACTATTTAAGAAAGCTGTTCTAAACAATCAAGTAGTTTGGGGCTGATTTATAAAGCAGTGATTTGCCTAACTCTCCAACTCCTTTAGAACATAAAATCCCAAAGGAGAACTAAGGCATGTGGACTATCAAAGTCACGTGGCTGATTCTCCCCCAACCACTGAGCTCTAGCTGTTGGGGCAATGCAGGCTCCAGCTCATGGCCTGCATTTTAGTAATGCACTGTAAGATATGGGGCATGGTGTGCCTACTCCAGTGGGGTAAAACACAGAGTGGATAGCAGTATCTGAACTGTTAAAAGACAGCACTTTTGGGAATCCAAGTTACAAGCCCTTAAAAAGGCATAAAAAGACATTGTTATTGTTTATTGACATGCCAGAGAGATTTCAACAGAAGAGGGGAAACAGATAACCTGCATGAAAATGGTGACCAAAACGGAAGCAAGAAATATACAAAGCTCTTGTCCATGTGTATCTGAAGAGTAATTCAAACTGATGTCTCTTGGAAGAGTCAAGAGCCATAAATAATTTCCTAGATTGACCATTATGTTGTAAAACAAATGTAATGTAAAATTTAAAATTGTATCATTTTCTATATAGTCATCTCACAAATCCAATTGCTATACTTTTTTTTAGGCTTGGCTTGATTGCTAGTTTCTAATAGTTATGTTAGTTGATACAAATTTAACTTTTTATTTTTCATTGCTTTCTTGCTGGAAATGCTGTTATCTACACAAAATTAAATTTCTTATAATACATTTATTCAGCTGGTCAAATGCCAAGGTAACTGGGTCATTTTCATCTTCACACAATTCTTTCAAGGATACACTGCAGGGAAACAGAAAATAGAAACAGGTTACACATATCATTCATTATAACTTGTGGACAAAGACATGCCAAACCAGAGAAAATGTTTGGGTTTTTATTTTTTATTTTTTTTAGTTTTGATCTTTTTTGAAAGGTGTTTGCCTGGCTCAGGTGTGAATAAAAGCAGGAATGAAGGAAGTTAAGAAGCCACTAATATTAATTTATTTCAAAAGATTTATGTTAACAGGTTAAGTAAGGCCTTATTTATAGTAATAGTTTTCTTGTAAACAAAAGCAGAACTCCAAAACTACAAAGAATTGTATCCATTGCTTTGCAATCTGGAGTGAAACTTAATACAATGGTTTTTATGAAGAGTTTGTGTATTTTTAAGGTTATGCCATTGTCATGTTTCACATGACTGTCATATGCCTTCAAGTGTTCTTGTATTTTGCCTCTGCTCCTCCCTTTCCTTTGATTTAGTTCATGCTGTATAGATAGCTCCACCCTTTTTCCCAGTAATGCATTTCAGCTTCAAACCTCATGTCATGAAGCAGATCACATTATGATCTTTTAACCTATGTGATGTTCATTGTTGTAAGATTCTCTCAGTTTATGGAATAAACTTTACAAGATCTACAAGGGGTCATCTGATCGAGTCACTGCCTGTGTTATTCAACTAAGATTGGAGTTATTGCTATCTCATCACAACTGTAAGTTACATAGGTCACACTTTCAATGCTTAGATTGGAGAGACAGAACAGTCATGATGCCACATTTCACCAGCAACACGGCATGCCATTGTCATGAAATAATGCCTGGAATTCATTAATAACATCACAGACACTCTTTAGAATTGTGTCAAACCTCCGTGTGACAAATGTCAGTGGCTGCAACAGATTCTTGTACCAGTTAGAAACAGGTACATGAAATTATTACATGGAGCCATGGAGGAGGACAGCACTGAGGCAGAAGTGATCATGCTGCAGACAATGCATCCTTAGTGCATTCTTAGACCACTGAGCCACAGAGCATTACTAATTGTTAGGATGCTGTCAGCTACACAGCATCAATGGTTACTAGAGTGCTGTCAGCTGTGTAGCTGGCAGCATTCTAGCAACTAGTGATGCTGTGCAGCTGGCAGTGTTCTAGCAACCAGTGATGATGTGTAGCTAACAGCATCATAACAAGTTACCAGTGGGTGAGGTACGGGATGGTGCATGCAAAGAAGTATAAACACTGTGGCCCCACTCTGAGCACTTTGGCCCATATACCAGGTAGAGTTGATCTCAGTTAACTCCAGTTTTCTTTTTGAATTTGTCACAGCAATAGCGGCCCATTGTGAAAGTAGCACAGATAAAAACAACCCGAATCTGTTGCACATGTCAAAACTCCTAACAAAGCTTTCATGATTTAGGTGCAGGACTTTTTAAAGGGACCATAATGCCAGAAAAGTATCTTACTAATAATTAATTCACAAATGCATTTTACCTGGACATGTTTAAAGATTTGTTAAAGCTGAAATCTGGGCACAGTTATTTTCAGTTTCACACAAATCATAAATCCATTTTATATGCAGCTGATGCTTTTGCAAACCCAGAAAATATCATTTAAAAGTAAAAATTGAAAGACCTTACATCCTTGACTAGTGGTGTGTGCTCTGGGAAACTACTTTTTCCATGATCCTCATTTCTGCTTTTTATTACATTACAATATTTCACCAGCGTTTTTTGGACAGGGTTTTTGCAGGACTTGGGCAGGCATAAAAATTCTATGCTTTTACAGTCACTCTTATTCTGAAAAGCATCTGTGAATTGCAAGGTACACTGTGGAAGCACAGCCTGGCACAATTTATTTCAACAAATAAATTGAAAAAGGGTGTTTTCAGCACATAAAGGATTATAATTTATAATTGTAAAGTGGTGCATTCCAAACAGCAAGAGAAAGAAAAAAATAGAATGTTGTAACTATCTTTAGGAACTAAAAGTGTAATAATGCAATATTCAAACGACAATACATTATCATAAGATATCAGTAGCTTAGATTACATTTCCAGCTAATAAGTAAGGTTTGGTTCAACACATGTTCAGTGAACACAGGAATGTGTTCTGAATGCGAACCCCATTACAGTCAACAGAAGCCAAACCTTAGAAATCAGTAATGCCTATTTTCTGGGCTAACAAGCAAGGAATTGTCAAACAAAGGGTAAGGGGAGGTGGGCAGAGCCCTGTGGGATATGTACCAATACTAAAATATATATATATATATATATATATATATATATACACACACATACATACATACATACACACAGAGCAGGTAAAATAAGTATTGAACACATCACCATTTTCCTCAATAAATATATTTCTAAAGGTGCTACTGACATAAAATTTTCACTGCATGTTGGCAACAACCCATGCAATTCATACATATGAAGAAACCAAAGCAAATAAGTTCAGAAATTAAGTTATGTGTAATAAAAATGGAATGACACAGGGATAAAGTATTGAACACATGAAGAAAGGGAGGTGCAAAAAGGCATGGAAAGCCAAGACACCAGCTGAAATCTATTAGTAACTAGAAATCGATCCAGCTCCTTGTCAGTGCACATTAATATCAGCTGGTTCAGTGTCAACTGATGGCCTATAAAAAGGTGTTACACAAGAAATCTCATGATGGGTAAAAGTAAAGATCTCTCTTAAGACCTTCGCAACCAAAGTGCGTACTGTTGGGGCCATAATCCAGAAGTGGAAAGAACATATTTTCATTATAAACCGACCACGACCAGGTGCTCCTCGCAAGATTTCTGACAGAGGAGTGAAAAGAATTATTAGAAGAGTTGTCCAAAAGCCAAGTACCACTTGTGGAGAGCTTCAGAAAGACCTGGAATTAGCAGGTACAATTGTTTCAAAGAAAATAAAAAAATGTAATGCGCCATGGCCAACTGCCATGGCCTGTATGTATGTTCACCACACAAGACTCCATTGCTGAAGAAAAATCCAGTTAAAGCTCATTTAAAGTTTGCTGCACAACATTTAGACACGCCTGTGAAATACTGGGAGAATATAGTATGGTCAGATGAGACCAAAATTGAACTCTTTGGATACCAAATGGTACTGCACTTCACCCCAAAAACACCATGCCAACAGTGAAGTTTTTGGAGGTGGGAATATCATGGTGTGGGGCTGTTTTTCAGTACTGGCAAACTTCATATCATTGAAGGAAGGATGAATGTAAAAATGTACCAGGACATTCTTGATAAAAATCTGCTGCCAAAAATTTTAATTATTATTCAACAGGGTGGGGGTCTTTTCAGGTAGCTTAACCACTTGCCCTCCTGAGGATTTATCCCCCTTCCTGGCCAGGCCTTTTTTTGCTATTCAGTGCTGCACTACTTCAACTGGAGCTTACGCGGTCATGCAATACTGTACCCAAACAAAATGTATTTGTTTTTTTTCACACAAATAAGGCTTTCTTTTAGTGATATTTGATCACCTGTGTGCTTTTTATTTTTCATGCTATAAGGAAAAAAGACCAAAAAGTTTGAAAAAAAACTATATTTTTTACTTTCGGCTATAAAAAATATACAGTAAACTCAAAGTTAGTCATAAATCTAGGCCAAAATGTATTCTGCTACATGTCTTTGGTAAAAAAAAATACCAATAAGTGTATATTGATTGCTTTGTGTGAAAATTATAGCATCTACAAACTATGGTATAAATACTGCAATTTTTTTTTTTGCTATACAGCGCTGCACAAGTTTAACTGACAATTGCGCGGTCAGGCAAAGCTGTATCCAAACAAAATTTATGTCCTTTCACAAAATAGAGCTTTCTTTTGGTGGTATTTGATCACCTGTGCGCTTTTTATTTTTTGCGTTAACAAAAAAATTGAAAATTTTTTAAAAAATCTATATTTTCTCATTTCTGTCATAAAAAATATCCAAAAAATTCAAATTGTAGCATAAATGTAGGCCAAAATGTGTTCTGCTACATGATTTTGGTAAAAAAAATCCCAATAAGTGTATATTGATTGCTTTGTGTGAAAGTCAAAGCATCTACAAACTGTATAAACAATATATTGCTCACACAAGCCATGGGTACATATGGAATTACATCCCAAAATACATTCAGCTACTTCTACCGAGTATGGGGATACCACATGTCTGAGAATTTTTGGGAGCCTGAAATCCAATGACCACTTTGAAAGCCTTGAAGGTGCGCAACTTCCTCATTTCACTTTCTCACTACCTATCACAGTTTCGGAGGCCCTGAAATGCCAGGATAGCACCAAAACCACCCCAAATGACCCCTTTTTGGAAAGTAGACACCCCAAGGAATTTAAAAAGAGGCATGATGAGCATATTGCAGATCTCATTTTTTTCACAAGGTTTTGAAATATAAAAAAAAAGAAGTTTATACCACACATCACTCACTCTTCTAACCACCTGAAGATCAAGCCTTTTCTGACACTTTGTTCACATGAAAAAACCTGTATTTTTTGCTAGGAAATTACTTTCAGCCCCCAAACATATATTTTTTAAAGCAGATACCCTAGTGAATAAAATGGTGGGTGCTTCAATTCTTTATGCCACATAGTACTCGCGCAGCGATTTTTCAAACGCAAATTTAAAAAAATATATACATAACATGCTTTAAAACTGCGCATGCCCTGTGCAATGGGGACAAACTGCATACATTTTTAATATTCATAGGCAACGCTTTAAAAGCCTTTACAAGTTACCATTGTCGATTTACAGAGGAGGTCTACTACTAGAATTACTGCCCTTGATCTGACGTTTGCGGCAATACCTCACATGCATGCTACAGCAGCTGTTTACATGCTGGCACAGGGTCAACATTCATGTACGCAGGACGACAGAGTGTATTGTCGTTGAAATGCATAAAATGCATTATACTCTCATATCTATGTCTGGCCATGGCAGCAGAGAACACAGGCATATGATGAATCGGGTCTGTGGACCAATATAACCGCAATTAATTTTTTAGTAATGCCCATGTTGA